TCACCCGTGCTGGGAGCCCAGAGCGCACCCCTCCCTGGGGAGTGTCCCTTGGCGGCCACGAGGTCAGCAACCAGCTCTTTGATCTCCCAAGCCCACGGCCACCCCACACACTCGCAGGCCACAAACCCCAGTCCACAGCTGCACACCCAGGCTGGGTCTGGCACCCTGGTCCCTCGCAGCACCCCACGGCCGGCCCCGAGCGGCCAGTGCTGCTAGAGAGCCCCCAGCCTCTGGGTGGCTTTGGGCAGAAGATGGGGCGGCAGAGGTCAGCCCCGGCCCTGCAGGCCCTGGCCCCCCTCCGGCGCCTCCGCCCCAGAAGAGCCCGAAAGAGCAGGCGGGCGACTGGCCACGCCATCCGCAAAGAGGGGGGACGTGGCCCCGGGGCGTCGTCTCAGGCCTAGGGAGGAGTTAGCAGCAGCCCGAGGGGGGTCCCCACGCACTGGAAGCCGCACAGAAACACAATGGCTGCAGCGGGGTGGGAGGGCACCCCTCATCTGCCGAGAACGAAGAGGCCCCGGTGGGAGCAGCCCTGCAGGCCACCCCCGCCCCGAAGCGACCTGGGCGCAGAGGCAGACCCCGCGGCCCCCCGGCGTCTCAGGGGCTCCCCCGCTCCCGCCTGCACCGGGGACGCCTCACCCCGCACCGCGGCCCGTCCCCCCCTCGCGGTGGCCCGTCCCCTCCTTGCGCTGGCCCGTCCCCTCCTCGCGGTGGCCTGTCCCCCCCTTGCGCCGGCCCGTCCCCTCCTCGCGCCGGCCTGTCCCCTCCTCGCGGTGAACTTGCGCTTTTGAACGTGTTTTGAGAAGATGGACAGGCGGGAGCGTCTGCGCTCTCGTTTCTTTCCGTGAGTGTCTGTGCGGGGGAACTGGGCGCGGCCTGAAGCGGGGCGAGGGGTCCCCCCCCCCCGCAGAGCGGGAGCAGCTCGGCACTGTTTTAGTTTAAAGTCTCCCGCGCCATCGGGGTGCTCCCAGGGCTCAGGGGTGCGGCTTTCCGAGCCTCCTCTCA